CGGGGAACGTCAGCGCTGCGGGTCTGTCGGGCAGCGGCGCCGCGTGGGGCTTGGGTGGGATGGCTGGGCCCAGGAGGTGGGTTGTGGAGGGAAAGGGGATGCGTGGGGGCCTGTGCAGCGGGCCCGGGAAAGCAGCTCGGGAGGTGGAGCCCAGATGGTGACCCTCCGGGGCAGTGCAGCCTGCAGACATCAGGGCAGAGGTGAGCGGTGGGGCCACGCGTGGGGCGCGGTGCCTCGGCTCCCAGGAGAGCCTGAGAAGTTCAACGGAGTGGAGCGTGTGAGAGGGAGACAGGGCTGGGAACACAGACTGTGCCCAAAACTCTCCAGGTCCTGCTTTGTGCAGAGCAGCAGGATCAAACCCAGCACAGCCTTGACCTTCAACTCAAACCCCTCACTGTACATAAAAACCCTGCGAGGGAGTTAAATGCAAGTGGTTTATGGGAACCTGTGATCATTCCTCCCTAAACTTTCCTGTAGGTCGGTCCCTTTGACAATGCTGTTCCCTTCCAGCTGTCCCTGCACAGACCCAGACACCCGGGACAAGCTGCTTCCCAGGGTCTGGCTGGCTCGCCCCCCCCACATCACTTCCACTTGGTGGTCACATTCCCCTGCTCCCACACAGCCACTCCTGCCATTTACCCAGCACAAGAGGAGGTGATAAAAGGCCAGTAAACCACGACAGGCTGTGAGATGCCTCTGATCTGCAAGGGGGTATCTCAGACATCCTTGCCATGTCTCAACGTGCTGCTTTGGCTTCACCAGGAGGTGCTTGGCCAACGGGTGCTGGAGCCACCAGCCCCACGTGTCCCCTCAGCTCCCAGGGCTCCAGGTCCCCTGAACCAGCAGCATCAGCCCTGCCACAATGCTCCATCCAGGCTATAGTTTTAACATCACAGAAACTTGCTGCAAAGGCCCTTACAGTGGTAAGTAACACATCTAATTACCATATCCTTAGAATAGATGTAATATAAATTTCATTACTCACTTAAAAGTTCTAAAGTTAACAGCATAAACTTGAAGTTGAGTAATTAAGTAATCCTTATATAGACACTTATTAAAGTATTTATACATATTATCTTAAATCTACATCTATCATTTTGCCAATTAAAATTAGGACTTTAATTGCAATTAAGTAATTTAATTGCCAATTGAACAGCAAAATTGCTAAGTGACTAATTTTAATGCCTATTTTAATTACCAATCATGACTGGGGAGGGAGCTAATCAAGCAGTATCAGAGTAATGATGTGAAAAAAAAAAAAAAAAGGAGAACAAACATTCAGGACTACATGCCTTTAAAAAAGAGCTCTAAATTAAATAAATGCAAACACAATTTTATACATGTGGTGAAATGCTGTATTTTGGTGTCTAAATCCACGAGCACAAGAACACATTTAATACAAGAGAACTGCAGATCTTCCCCCCCAAAGTGCTGAGGATGAAGTGCCCCTCATCCCGTGTTTCCGCCCTCAGCTCCCCGGAAGGTAATCCCAGAAATGTGGGTGTGGGGCTGAGGAAGAGCAAAGAGCCCCCCAGCACCAGAGCTGAGCACCCAGGCTGGCAGGGAGGGTGGCAAACGGCCAGGCCCCTGTTTTGGTGGTGGCTGGTGGAACCCCCCCCCCGGGGCAGACACCCCCACCTCCGCACAACCGGTGCGAGAGGAACAGGCGGCCCCGGCTGTCGCAGGGACAGGGCACAGCTGGTGCCTTCATCCCCCACAGTGCTCAGTTCTCCTGCTCCCCCCAAGGAGAAGGGCAGGAGCACACACACGTGCACACGCGTGTGCTTGCAGAGGTGTGTCACCACTGCTCCCATCCCCTCCCGCCAGTGGTTTGGAGGTGCACAGGTGAAGCACAAGCATTTTTGACCCTTAACTGCCTGTTGAGGAGCATCGAACACAAACATACTCCAAAAGGTAAAAATCCAGCTTCTTGAAAGGCCCCGTCCCCCAGCAAGGAGGTTTCCCAGCTCATGGCAACAGCTTCTGCAGCTGAGCCCACAGGAGGGATTCTGCAGACAGCCTGGGCCTGCTTCAGGTACCCTCATCTTCAGTAAAAGGGCACAAATTCTTGTCATTCCTGTCTGTGAGCACAGCGAATTCCCAGAGTCTGAAGGCAAGTTACAGTGTCTGTCCAACACTGGGAAGCACAGGGACTGCTCCGTGGCAGCAGCAGTTGCACATCCCTCAGCAGCAGGGCCACGGCCACGTGCCCATCCCTGCCTTGGGACCGTGGCTTGGGACCAGTGTGGCCGGGCATGGCCAGAGCTGCAGCAGCCCCGTGGGACCTGCAGCACGTCACAGACCCCGAGCAGCACCCACCTCCCCTGCCACGTTCCATTAATGCACAAGTCTGAAGGACGGGAGGCGTCGGGCAGCCGCGGGCTCTCGCAGGACCTCGCTGTGCACAAAGCAGCAGTTTGGTTTGTGTATGGGCAGACCCAGCCCTGCTTCCTTGGTCACACGGGTGTCCTGTGGCAGTGACACAGCTTTTGCTCCTTCTCTGCAGGCCAGCAAGCCTTGGCTTGGTGCCCACGTCCACCCAGGGCCGTGTTTTT